GTAAGAATTACGGTATATGTCATAGTTGTCGAAGCACTGAGCACTTGTTCGGAGAATGCCGCAGAAAACGTCATTGTCCATGGTGTGTTGATGGAGTCCAGAAATGCTTTGAGGTTGAAAAGGAAGGCAACAACAAGGCCGACTATTCAATACTTGTAGTAATGACTGTGGATTTTTTGAGTGGGTAAAAAAGGTAGACGTAGACGGTGAGTCGAGTACCATTACGAAAGCAAAGAACCCGATTGGGAACGAGGAAATTCACGATTTGCCAAGCATGTTCGATAGTCTAGCTCGTATAGCCGAGCAAAGAAATCTCGAGATTTCGTTCAATGTGACATTTCGCAAGGGCAAAGAACCGTCGAACGATAATGGCAAATGACAGGGGTCGGATTGATGCACTAACATTCCTTGAAAGCATAGTCTGTCCTTTCATGTTGTTATGTTCATTTATTTTCTAATGTTAGGAGGTTGTAATCTAATCTATCCATCTTCAACATTCTGTATCAAACTAGTATTGGAATACATGTTGATCCTAGCTTTTTGAAGTAAATGCCATTTTTTACGTGGTGTGGAATTTAAATATCCATAAATGGGGATGAGCTACACAAACTGGAAGGCTAAACACGCTATCAAATTCAGTCTGCAATTTCCAGTTTGGTTCATGTTCATGCTATACACCATTAAGGTCTATATTAAACCATAGTGGCAACAATTTGATTTCAACTGCAAAAACAAGAAATGCAGCCACACTAATTACTGATCCATGATAAATTGATAAGAGAAATGCCATTTCTAAAATTCACAGCACTTGGATTGGCATAATGAAGAACAAATATTCTGACCACACTAATTGGAAAACATATTCCATTTTGAAAATGCAAACTCAACTACATTTTTCCCATCCTACAGCTCCAACTATGAGGAACATACTCCCGAAGCCATACAAGCATTTGAAATACACAGTTTACTAGACGGGACCACCATCTTGATGGGTATGTGGATAGTTGTATGTCACCGAAGGACCTATTGTACAATATGAACGTAAGTACGCGCAAACAAACTAATAGTAGTCAAAATGTAAAGATTTAAACATGTGTACACCTTGGGAGCTAAATATGAGATTCGATGCCGTTGGAGGGATGAAGTTTACTGATTGAAAGGCTTGCGGGACGGTTTGACTTTCTGCGTCGCCCTACGACATACCACAACATTGTTAAGGCCTCGAATAAATAATCATAATAATCTAAGTTTACTTACCAACAATAGTTGCGAGTACGAAATCGGTGTCTGCATAGTATATTGTTCAGCTGCTTGGACGACGGGTGCAATAGGCGGTGTATTCATCTGGTTGGACGTTGTTCTCTTAGATCCTTTACTTGCATTCGACGTAGCCTGCAAGTACATACATGTTAAATAGTAATTCTGAATGAATATTGTTTAAGTAGAAATATAACGTGACAAACAAACCTTTGTTCTCTTTGAAGTGGACTCCAATGGGCTTTTCTCCGAATCTTCTTAGGAGCTCCCTTTCGTCTCGTTAATAGGGGATCTCTTACGCTCCCTCTGGCATTGTTTTCAGATTGATTACCCTGGGATGCTAAAGGAGTTGTGCCTTGTGAAACAACATTACTTCCACTACCTGACTTCATTGTCGTCAACTCTTTATTTTGATTATTTATCCATTCCTTGATCGAATGGTAGTGCCCTTCATCATCACCCCCTAGGTTTGCAACCTCGGCAAAAGCTTGACACATATCGTCGTATCTCAACTATTCAGGAGTACTAACCAACCCATCGTAGTTCACTGCGACCCTGGTGTGTGCTCTACAAACATCTCTCTTCCATCTTCGTAGTATGAACCTCTCCGGTAGTGACGTGGCGTCATTACGGATCAAAACTACAATAGTGATGCAGTGATCCTAGCTTTACAACTTGTCTGTATTGTTGGTTGTGGCTTCGAAGAACCAATTTTACTGGTGCTTCTTCGACCTTCGCGGCTACATGTGATAGTCACATATTTAATTTTCCCATCATCTCCCTTTTTCGAGTTCATTTTCCTAACCGGAAAACCTATTTGGTATGCTTATCCTTTATAGAAGTCCCACAATTCTTTTTCATTGTTGCACATTATACCCACCTCCAGAAGTGGACTCCAATGGGCTTTTTCTCCTAAGCTTCTTAGGCGCTCCCTTTCGTCTCGTTAATAGGGGATCTCTTACACTCCCTCTCGCATTGTTTTCAGATTGATTACCCTGGGATGCTAACAGAGTAGTACCTTGTGAAACAACATTACTTCCACTACTTGACTTCATTGTCGTCAACTCTTTCTTTTGATTATTTATCCACTCCTTGATCGAATGGTAGTGCACTTCATCATCAGCCGCCAGGTTTGCAACCTCGGCAAAAGCTTGACACATATCGTCGTATCTCAACTGTTCAGGAGTACTAACCAACCCATCGTAGTTCACTGCGACCCTGGTGTGTGCTCTACAAACATCTCTCCTCCACCTCCGTAGTATGAACCTCTCCGGTAAAGATGTGGCGTCATTACGGATCAAGACTACAATAGCATGCCGGCACAGAATCCCCCGAAATTCAAACAAGTGGCAACTGCAAACTATTTCACAATTGTCTTTCTGGAATGAGACGAAAAACTTTTTATTGATCCGACGGTCATCATACATGCACACCTCGCGTATTTCATACAGCGTCCCTAAACTTCCCTCCGTTGTAGATATAATGTCGCAATAAACCTTCCCTGTGAGCTCGACTTGAACTTCCCTGAACTTGGAAATGGTGTAACATTTCTGATACTGCTTCTCCATTTCGAACATTGTTGTACACGGTATCATTTGCGAGTATGACTTGAAGTCAGCCTGGAACTCCTTCTCAACCTTATTTCTCAGTGCCCGTTCATACTGTTCGACAAATTGCTTCAAAGAGGTCTTTGACTGAACATATCCATCGAAGAACGCATTGATACTCTCACTTCGCTGAGTTGTAGACATCCCTGCCCAAAATGTTGTTTTCAAATAGCAAGGAACCCAACGACCTCTGTTGTCAAACAATCCTGATAACCAATCATTACTATGCAACCCGTACGTGTCAATCATGGCCTTCCAACCGTCTTCAAATTCTTGTACGAACTGCGATTCATACACCAACCCATGTATAGTCGAAAAAATGGAAGCCTTATCACCGTGATATCCAAACTTTTCTGGCAACTTCTTAAGAATATGCCACAAACACCACCTATGTTTTGTGTTTGGAAAAACAATCGCAATTGCATTTTGCATAGCCCTGTCTTGATCAGTAATGATTCCATGGGGAGCTTTTCCATTCATGCACTGAATCCATGTCTTAAATAGCCACACAAAAGTATCAGTGTCCTCATTAGACAACAAACCACAACCGAGAAGAGTTGATTGTCCGTGATGATTAACGCCAACGAATGGGGCGAAAGGCATATCATACTTATTAGTTAGATAAGTGGTATCAAATGTGACAACGTCGCCGAACTCCTTGTACGCTTGCCTAGACCTATTATCTGCCCAAAATACATTCTTCAACCTAGACTCATCGTCTAAATCCATACTGAAGTAGAATCCTGAACATTGAGCTTGCATCTTGGAAAAATAAGATTGTATCGCTGCTGCATCTCCTTCCCCAAGTCTTAATCGTCTGACCTGTTCAATATAATTTCGACAATCCTTTTCTACGCAAGTCATGTTTTCATATCCACCAGCTTCAACCACCGCAGAGTTGAAACTTTTGTGCAAGGGAATTCCGGCCATGTCATTCACTTCAAGCTTTCGTTTCACTTGTGAGCTTATTTCTCGGTTACAACGATACAACCTCGACTTTGAAGGACTTGTTTTATGATTGTGGTCGAGGTACACTGCGTTGATTCTCCAGATTCCAAAAATATCTGAAGATGCGGTGATCCTAGCTTTACAACCTGTCTGTATTGTTGGTTGTGGCTTCGAAGAACCAATTGTACTGGTGCTTCTTCGACCTTCGCGGCTACATGTGATAGTCACATATTTAATTTTCCCATCATCTCCCTTTTTCGAGTTCCTTTTCCTAACCGGAAAACCTATGTGGTATGCATATCCTTTATAGAAATCCCACAATTCTTTTTCATCGTTGAACATCATACCCACCTTCGGCACCATCGGACCATCTTCTCCTAATGTTGCCTTCGGCCCTAATATCATACTGTCTGCACCATTCTCGTCATCATTTCTCTCCATCACAAATTCTTCACGTATGTCTTCCATAGAACTTTGTACTGCAACGAAACAACAAAAATTCAACAGAAAATAAGGCAACAATACAACAAAAAGTGATTAGCAGTATATTGAGGAATCAATAACTATAATTCCAAGTTACTAAATTCAACTAACTGTTATAATTTATTTGAAGTTCATAGTTAATTATAAATAATCACTAGCTGTATATTTATTACTTGTTCGTAATTGCATCCAACTCTAATTATTTATTATTTCAAGTTCATAAATTCAACTAACAGTATGAATGGTCTTTAATAAATTAAAGATTCAAGTGAATAAGAATTACTGATATTTTACTATCAATAATTCCAGTTGAAACCGAATTTTACTATCAATAATTAGAGTTGAAACTTAGAGTTGATACCGAAAATCGTAAGAAACAAATATATAATTGAGAAATGCCTCTTGTACAGATAATCATAAGAAAAAAATATATAATGTCAAATCTTGTAATTTCAAATCTTGTAATTTTTGAGATCCGATTTCATGTAGTGGCAGTGATAAATGCACAAAATTTCAGAATTAATATTTAGAACAACAGCATTGTGGCTCACGTGGGTTTCCCGGACCGATGTCGTCGTCGATGGAGTCTCTTGCGGAGTCGGGTGCTGAGTTGAGTATCACCATATTATTCTGCAAATTAGTTCGCCGTCTGCAAATTAGGTCGCCGGCAACTACTTCAGGTTCGGGCGAGAGAAAAGAAGGAAAATGGGAGCTTCAACGCCTGAAGGTCTGGGCAGAATAGAAGGAATTGGAAAGGGGGATCTTCGCCTGAAAGCTCTGGGCAGAATAGAGAGAGAAATGGTTAGTCAATTTTCCCTCTTTCTTTTACTTCTAGGTCAATTTTCCCTCTTAAAAGTCAAAGATTTTTAAATTTCTGTAAAGTTTCTGTAATGCCTCTTCTGTACAAGAGGCATTACTCATATAAATTTGATAGGATCATTTGTTCTTCTCGAAAATACAAATTCTTGATTATCAATAATATATACTAATCGAAGATGAAGACCCTAATACCTGAGCAAAAGTTAAATCAAACGTTGACTTAAATATATGGCAAAAAGTCAAGGAATCCAAAATGAACTTTTATGGGTATGAAACCAAAGTTTGGACTTTGATTAACAACTGTACGGCGGATTTCGCATATTAACATATATAAATTATTATAAATTGTATTTTTGAGAAATACAAATGGATATGAATATTCTTGTAATTGTAAAATTGCAAAATTCTCTTATTAATTATTTGAATGTTTGAAGACGAGGAGCCACGAGGCTTGAATCCCAGGCTTCGAGATTTGTTGAGAATTTGATTTG